CTACAATATAAAAAAAGCCACATTGGACGTTTTGACTAGTCAAGTTGTACATCGGACATGTTACATTGGACGATTTTTCACAATGACATAATCAATGAGTTTTATATTGGACGTTTTGTCTACATGATACTAGATTCCCTTTCACAGATTTCAGAGTAGAGTACCTAACTTTAGATTGGCCCCGCGTTTAGAAAATGAGCACCAATCATGTTAGGCAATCCGAATGACCGAAGTAACAATCATGTACCCATCATTTCAAACTGTACATTGGACAATTTTTGACCTATGATTATCTTAAATAAATGAAAGTAAATTTGGATGGATGTTTTTGTATCACATACAATGATATAAGAGCAATAGTTTGTATCGCTTAACTCGATTTGTTTACATTTGTTACTTAGGACCCTTTGAAAGGGAATTGATCAAGTCAGTTGAATTCAACTAACTTGAACGTGAATTGAACGTGTAAACCATGCCATTCAACTGACTTGATCAACTCACTTCAATTGAAAAAAGTTGAACCAGGCTCAACTTTTCAAGCCAATTGAATTCAACTGAGTTGATTTTTTGACTTGCCTGATCTAAACCCAGCTTAAGGCAAATAGACTTAAGAATTCCATAAGGCTGGACTTCTGAATAGAATAACATATATCAATTTAATAAGCCTGACTTAAGAATGATTTTCGGGTAACACGAGGTAGTTTTTATACGCCTTTAACCATTTCATTTTCCCAAGCGTTCAAAGACGAGTGGTCAACACACGGGTCCCCTAATCTCAACGTCAAATTTTCCGGTTCCAGTCTGAGCGGATTTATTATTTTTTGTCAACATTATTTTTCATAAGGCAAATCAATGAAATTCATGCTCATTTCTTATGGCTAACATTCATAGGTGTTTCTTATGGAATTCTTACGTTCTTTGGCGTTTATATGTTTGGATTCGCTAACCATGGCTGATCTCTCCCCCCCTCCCGCAGTTCTTTGGCAGCTAAAGCTATTGAACAATACAGGTGAAAATGCACGAAAGTTATGTCTCAATCTTGAAGTTGCCGGCTTCAGTATAACATGAGCATTTTTAAATCTAGTTTATTTATTTGAAATGCTCAATCGCGTTAGCTTTACGGAGGAATATTTCATTTTTTTTTTGTAAACAAATTTTACTCAATTCTAGGTCTAGTAGGGGTTGGGCCGAATACTCGCGGCTTACTCGAGGTTAGAGCGACACATTGTCGAAGGATATGATCAAAGAAGGAGCTTGGGAGTGGGGTTTCGTTGTCTCATCAGAGCGTTCTCGCCAGTATACGACCAGTAGTGTGGTTCTAGGTTCAACTTCGTCTGGAGTTCGATCGACCATGACTAGTTTCTTTGACAGATAAAAGCCATTGAAAACTCCAACTTAAAGTGCTCGAAAGTTTTTTCAACCTTTTGTCGCTTTGACTATTTGTCCATTTCGTAATCTTGTTCATTCGACCTTTTGCCTTAATTCCATTCGACCCTTTGCCTTAATTCCATTCGACCTTTTGTCCATTTTGACCTTATGTCCATTCGATCTTTTGTGCCTATGAACTTTCAGTCCATTCGATCTTGTGTCAATTCGACCTTTTGTCCTTCGAATTTGTATGATAGATTCACCGTGGAATGAGACATATGCTCTTTATTTAGGGCTACCGCTGAACTCCTAAATTGAGACAACTGGTCTTTAGCTTATATATGTAAACAACATTTCCTAATACGGTAAGAATCAAATACCCATTTATGAGTCAAATTTGACGCATTCGTGAAGAAAAGGGGCCTACATTCTATTTCATTTCTACTCAGTCTCAGGTTGAATGGTATTGCCCTCTCTTTTTCTCTCACAGAAATTTTACTGAGTTTCAGTTCAAAAGGGAACTTAATCAGTCACTGAGTAAACTCCCTTTTGAACTGCAATTGAGTAAAATTCCCGTGAGATAAAAAGAGAGGGGTATACAATTTTGCTCAGTCACTGAGTAGAAGTGAAATATACACACAGATTTTTTTGACGAGATTGGTACTACCGAGCAGCTCGGTATTTATGTTTACTGAAATCTTAGCAACAATTTTGTTTGTTAGCTGAGATCTCGGCAAAGTTCCCGTTTCTTTGCTGAATCTTGGCAAGTTTTTCACTGAGATCCAGCAAAATAAAATGCCGAGCTGCTCGATGGTGCCAATCTCGGCAAAAAGTCTAAGTGTGTATTGTACTCATTAATGGGTAAAATATTTTACCCATTAATGGGTATCAGTTACTCATTAATGGGTAACCACAGACAAACAGACGTAACTCTTTGAAAAAGTTTTTCTTGAAAAAATAGTATCTCAAAACATATGACCTCAGTAACGACATCTCTCGGGCTTCTCGCGGAAAACAAGCTTGCTCGTTAGCTCGCAAACAATATTGCATAAAAGTTCTATAGAATGTATAGAAACGTCAAAGTGATCCGATGCCAGCGCTTCGGCGAGTAGTTCGCGGAACTGATAATATTCAAATCAACCGTTAAATGCATGAACGAAGATGCACAATGAAGTGTTACGTCTGTTTGTCTGTGGGGTAACAGTTATTCATTAATGGGTAAGATTAATTATCCATTTATGAGAAGGCCCCTCGTATTATCCACCAAAAAACGATGCTGCATGAGAACAGTACAGTAGTACTTTTTCGCGAAATGGGTCAAATTTGACCCATTAATGGGTGTTTGATTCTGTCCAGAAGTATGAACGCAAACAAAAACCGTGAAATCACTGGGATGTTGAATGAAACGGTTGAGTTTACAGTTAGGTTTATTTTTGTATACGGTACGCTAAATCAAACTTATGTATTCGAGTTACGAAAAAAAAAACGGCTAACGAATTTTGAATGTGAAGAGGCATGAGATTTAAAACGGTCGCTCTAAGGTCACCGAGCCCCTCATATCACATCACACCACTTATGATCGAGTTGTTGTTGTAATCATTCAAACTCGGCACCGACGACGACGACGAGTTTCACAAAACACGATTAGCATGTGACGATGTGACTCTAAAACTCCTTAATATGAAGGGGCCTGTGATTGATCCCACGATTTTTTGCTAAATAAGCATAAACGGCTGTCTAAGGCTGCCGAAGTTCTTATAAACGTCAATCCACCAGACGCTTTCGAAAAATTTCAAAATACTACTTAGTAACTAGTAATAGGACGTTGACTCTACTCACTGCAATTATTTTCCTGGAGAGGTGCTAGTAGCGCAAAAGAGGTAAAACACCGAGTTTGTGCTATCCTACACTACGCGGCAGCAAATTCGTTTGTATTCATTCCATCATGCACATCACTCTTTTATACTTTCTACTTGCCGAGCTCACGGAAGAATGGTAGTAATATCACCGACAAACCGATATGAAACTTAAACTTAACTCTTGATCGAGAATCCATAACGGCGGATTCAAATGTGCAGCGATCCCATCTCTCAAAACCATAGAAATTTGTTATCAAGATAAAAATAATTTGCCCGGAATAGATTAGACACGAACCAGTTCATATATTTTGTATACGTGTTCGTGACTAGGATACACATTTTTCGCGAACACGGCGGCAGATGTCAGTTTTTTGCTTTGATCAGAAATTTGATGGTATTTTGTATGGTCATTCATGTCGGTTTGTCGGTGGTAATATATGAAAATGTGTTGTTTGCTTGTTGAAAATGCAATGTATATAATAAATTAATGGAGAGGAAATGTTTAAAATATTCATATATATGAATAAATGTCTAGTCGGAATGCTTTGTTTACTCCGAAAATTCGTTTTAAGTAACACTTAAAAAATGCCATCTGTTGCAATGTAACACTTTGGATCATGTCCTATTCTCGGTAAAAGGTCTGTGCTAAACCTAATGATTAATGTTTGAAAAATGGTCCACCATAACCGTTAGGTAGCAAAAAGTGAAAACACAAAACTATTGTACTGCCCCTCATGGCAAGTCCGTCCCATAGCACAAATCAGCAAGCCGAGAAAAACACGTTTTAAGTTTACTTTGTACCACTGTTTGCTGTTTTACCAAACTTTTTTAAAACAAAGCTGTTAAGTACATCCAGTATCATGGAAATATGGGTGATTAGCTACCGTTTCCATTGAAAAACTCAGTTTCGACAAAAACCCAAATGGGACCGACTGAGCGGCAGTGTAGATCTAATTTTGGACCTACTAAGCACAACCCGCCCTTTGCATCTATTTTTCTGTATATTTGCAGAAAATGGAATGTTTTCACTGCAGGTGACTTCTAAATTTATTTACCTTTCTGTAAGATTTGCAAAAGAGAAACAAATTGTGGATATATTGTTAAGAATCCAACACTGCTTCTTGACCCCAAACTCGGCCTACGGATTCTAAATTAGGCCTAATGCATTGAAACGCCATGTAATTCACTTCGTTCGGTAGCTTTGAATGGTGTATGGAGCCTTAGTAGGTTTTGTTATTAGCTACAACTTTTGTTAACAACTCAAATTCGTATCTCTTATGTATGACAAACCAGAGCGAACAGAATCCACTACTGTTTTTCAGTGAATGTATTTTACATTCACTGAAACACCAGTAACAAGTTCTGCCCGCTCTAATTCGTGATGCATAAGAGACACAGATTTGAGTTATGGGAAAAAGTTGTAGCTAATAACAAAAAAACTACTAAAGCTCTATACATCATTTTGCAGATTGCTGATGATAAAAAAAGTTAGAGGCAAATGAATGTAAAGGATTGCATGAAATGAATGTAAATGATTTTCCATGCCTGGCCCTGACATTTGTGTACCAACCTTGTACAATTTACAGTTTATAGTTCAAAAGCCTCCTTCCCTCCAGCTACGCCAAACCCCAAGTCGAAAACATTTGATTTGATTGAGTTGAGATTTTTCTCTTTGTGCACTGACTAAACATCGCCAGGCATCTTTGCTCAGTTTAATTTATGGATGGGCCTATACAGTATCATTGAAGATTGCAAATCTCAAACCACACTCACCAGAATCTTTCGCGCGTTGTATCACCGAGTCCAGGTCACGGATGTACTTTTTGTTGGTCAGGTTGGCGCCAACGTCTACCACGATCAGATTCTCGTAGCAGTGCTTCATCTCGTCCTCGTTGAGATCAGCCATTCTCGTCGTAGTTGTTAAGTGTTTTCTTGTGCTCTTGCTATAAGGTGTGTAGTTACCCTTTTACAGCCTTCTACGAGCGTGTGTTGTTTGCCTCCAGTAAGGTCGATTATGCGAATAGTCCGCTAGTTAGTAGTTTTGATCGGCGTGACGGAATGAATAAAATCTATTCGGCTGAAAGGTAAAACGTGCTACGTACTGGGCGGGCTGAAGCACTAACTAGGCGAAGCTTCACACAATCGTCATCGGTTTCATTAAACGCATCGAAGAGTATGTCTTGTTTACTTTCGCTTGAATATATTTATTGTTTTTGCTTGTACTCTTCTTCAATGCCGCGGCTTACGCTTCTGCTAGGCACCTTTTTATTTATTGCAGTATGGTTGGCGTTTTGCGTTCTCGACTATGTGTATATTTTGCACCAGAAAATGAAATTATTTTCCTTTCTTTTCGAGCTTCACTTACACAAGTACGGCGGATGGAAGGCAAAACTTATTCTGCAATGTGCGCGTGTAGTATGCAGATGCAGAATTTTAGATGCGAGATTAACGAAAAAATTTCTGGCCGTTTCCAAGGACAGAACCGCCTGTTTTTGCGTGGGTGTTCAGAGGTGATTCGAAATTTTAGGTGGAACGAGTGCACCTACACGTCCAGAGCCGCAGTGTGCCTGCACGCAGTTCAAATTCAAAGCAATTTAGAGTGACGTTTGGCCCGGAGTAGTCTATATATTAGCTTACTCGAGTTCTACACAGTCATAAATCTATAAGAATTTTTATTCAACTTTTGCCAATTATGACGACTACGAGAAAGACGACGACAACGACGGCAGCCACGGGTGGTGATACTTTTTTTTTGGCTGTTATAGACGGCACGTATTAACCACTACTACAATACGAGCAGGAACCTCAGCGCTGTCTTTGATCCAAATTGACCGATGAAGCCAAGTTCAGGAGAACAGGGCGAACACAGATGTTCCACAAAACTCAAATTTCCTTCGAATCACACCCGGAGATCTCGGTACTGGCGATCCGAGACGATTTTAGTCGCTTGCACTGATCGGAATCGCCACTGTGTACTTATCTACCTTGACGATCTTAGCCTCGTTGCACCATCTAAAACTAATCACTAGCACATAGCACACACTCACTCGGTCGTCTCAATCAAAGCCTCTCGTCGTTGGTTTTGATAACAGCGCTTGATTCACTTTGGTTTTCGGGATTCTGTTCAGTACTTTTCCCAATCACGATCCGGTTTCATCGCGCGGGTTGATAACAGCGAAGCTCTCTACGTTCTAGATTATTAGTATACTAATGGTTAGTGATATATCTATGCGCTGAGATATATACACGGTCGCGTCACGTCCCAGTCGTCAGTCTTCTAGTCTTGCTCTGTGTCGAATCTCAACTGACGGACTGTGTACCAAGTGGAAGCAAGTTTCGTTCGGTACGCTGCTCTGGTTCGTAGGTATCTGTCTCAACTACACACACCAAGCGTCACTCGCGAGCAGTAGAGATACGGCAACCGACGGCAACGATGACGACCACATGATTGTCGAAATGCTGGGAGTGTATGTACAACATGCCTACATATATCTACCCAACAACATAATACAGCATTGCCTGCGTGTATGCGGTGGGTGGTACCGTCCACCTACCGCTATTTCTCGGCTGTCATTCAACTAATTGAGCTGATTTTCTGTAGATAACTAGTTTATGGTTGACACTAATCACAAACTACAAATCAACGTAATTGGTTGAAGGAAAACTGAGAAATAGCGTTGGGTGGTCGGTACCACCCACCGCAGATATGAAGGGAATGCTGCAAAGCGTCTATAATAGGGAATGCAAAGGAAAACGTCAAAATACTATGACTATGTGTAGGTATGTTGGCGACTGGATATGTGGAAAGAGAAACTGCAAAAGAGCGCATAAAATATGTTACCCGCCCAAATGTATACGCCACGCGAAGCATAAGCACCCGTTTGCACAAGGACTAATGATGGGAAAACGGAATGAAAGGGTGTTGGCATTCAAACTGGCGGCCTACTGTATTTGATAGCGTCACTAGATATCAGGCTAAATGCGATAAAATATCTAGGTTGGCCTTTATCGCCCTCATAGGTATAAACTAAGGAGATGAGACTGAACATTGACCCACCCACTGCTACTGCAGTACACACTTAGAAATTTTTACAGAAATCTGTAAATTTTTTACTGAAATCTCAACAGCTGAACGTTCGGTAAACAGTTTCGCAGATTTCCTGTAATTTTTCACAAATATCTGTGAATTTTTCACAGATATCTGTAAATAATTACAGGAAAATTGTAAAAAAATTACCGAACGTTCAGCTGTTGAGATTTCGGTAAAATTTTACAGAAATCTGTAAAATAATCTTAGTGTGTAGTAGCACAGGAATCCGCCGAAGAGCGCGGTATCCATCCAATTGTGCTGTTTGTGATTAGGGTCAACCATAAACTTGTCACATTCAGAAAATCAACTCAATTAGCTGGAAGACAGTCGAGCAATTGCGGTTAGTGGACGGTGAATTCCTGCAATTAGAATTTTTAAAATTGCGTTAGACTTACCTATAGGGGAAACACTTCTATTGCTGCAGTACGTTAGAAACGTTTCTAATGTACCGCAACAATAGGAGTGTTTCCCCTAGCCATAGTTTTAAACAGTGCGTGTTCAGTGATTCCAAAGCCGTAAAGTTGTGCCTATTTGTGCCTAAGTCATTAATTTTAAATAAATGGTGTTTTCGGAAAATTTTTAACATAATTTTATTGTATTAATTTTTTTAATGTAAGTGAAATTAGGGGCCATCCATAAATTACGTTATTTTGATTTGTGACATATGGCGGAGGGTGCTAAGCTCAAATGTGAAATCTCATTTGCTTACGTTGCAACAAATATATAACGAAAAATTTGTTTTCTTCAACGAAATCGGATAAAACAATATTTCTCATTCAGGAACACAAACATTTTCCATCATATTTTAAAGTACAACTTTGAATTCAAGTGTTATAATTTTTTTTTTCTTGAAGAGTATGGTAGGGTAGAGAACTACTTCGGCCTAATCGCCCATTTTGGGCCTATCGAGCAGAAAACTTCAAATAAATCCATGATTTCAGAGTTAATAAGTCAATTATGCGTTTGGTACGATACTTCAGTTAATAAGCTACCGAACGAAGTCAATGAGAACGCGTGATGTGGAGGTTTGCACCCATTATTCCCAAACACAAAAGAAGCACTCCGACCGAATCAATTTTTATCTTCATCCGATAGGCCGAAGTGAATTCATTGGCGTTTCAATGCGTTAGGCTGAGTTTAGAATCTGTAGGCCGAGTTTGGCGTCAAGAAGCAGTGTTAGACTTTTGACAATATCACAACGATTGGTTTTTCTTTATCAAATCTTACGGTGCGTACGGAAAGGTAAATAAATTTGAAAGCCGTCAGTAATAATAACATTCCATTTGGTGCTAAACTGCGCTAGATTAAGAAAAACTAAGTGCGGGTTGTGTTTAATAGGCCGTACATGGGGTAGTTAACCCTATGTTGATTTGATTTATTTACATTTTTTTGTACATTTTGGACAAGTATATCAAATCAGAGAAAAATATTTTGATGTTAGTAAACCTGCTTTATGAAATATCAAATTATGATAGGGTCGACAGCAGGGGACTGGCAACCCCATATCAATCCTATACGTTTGACAGTAGGCAAGATCACGGGCCTTATTTAAATACGGCCCGCCTGACGTATACATGAAGGAAAGGGACGCAAAATCGTGTTGTAAGCAGAAAGACAAGAGCAGATGAAAGCATCAAAAACATGGCCGCCAGCCAGGCCCCTGGTCGACATCAATGCATCAATGACATCACGCTCTCGAAGTCTTGGGTTTGAATATTATCCCTGCACAATTGGCAAAGGACTATAAAATTGGTTAATGCGACTACAGGCAAATCTCCGTATCACCTCAATTTCTATAAAGGAATTTCAACTTTTGCTTCAGTCATTCGTCTCACTTCTACATATTTTGGTCTCTCCTTATGTTAATGGACTGAGAAAAACTGGCTTTAAATTATGAATATAGGTTTTTATAAGTGGAATTTCAGCATATCCCGATTAGCAATTTCCCAATTTTTCCGGTTTTTTTTCCCGGAATTTTGGGAGCATTCCCGGTAGTGCGATGTACAGTTTATTGGTTAAGTACTTGAGAGTTGTCGGTACAGTTTTGAGCGTGATTGATTTTTAAGTAACCTATAGACGAGTGCACGGATGGATTTGAGTTCACTCACTCGACAAAAAGTGACACAACAGCGGGGCCCTGTTTACTAAAAATGAACACATGAATAATACTCACGTAATATTTGAAACGGGTCTATCAACTTATGTACACAAAACTTGTTAAGCCTTTTTCGCGCGAACCGAGTACGCTCACGCAAACTAACAACACCCTCGGGCAGAGGAAACTCTCCCCTTCCCGATAGTGCTCTTGGTTTGCGTGGGCGTACTTCGGTTCTCGTCAAAAGGACCTAGCAAATTATTTACAAAAGTTGATAGGCACTTTTCGAATGTTACGCGAGTATTATTCATGTGTTCATTTTTAGTAAACAGGGCCCCGCTGTTGTGTCACTTTTTGTCGAGTGAGTGAACTCAAATCCATCCGAGCACTCGTCTATATGAAAATTGAATTTCCTGATGTAAAATGAACCAAATATGCTGAAATTTTGCTTATTGATAATCAAGACACAGTTCTTTCATATGGATTAAATTTTACTAAAATCCGTTCAGTACAAAAAAAAAGTTTTACCTGTTTTATTTTTTTTTCGCCGTCTGAAAAAAATAACAAGGTTAAAGGCTTTTGGTCGATCTGGGTTTTCACTCTGCGGATAAAAGTATATAAGCTATTTCTTTTGAATTCTTCTCAATAGATTATATAGGGCTAATGTCGGCTTCGGTACCCATTGATTGTTCTCTGAGTCAAGAATATTTCAACTTTATCAACTTATGCGTTGCATTTCCAAATACTTGTATATTAACCTATTTTAAATCATAAACAATTTTTGTTTCCTCATTTACTTGGTATTCTGTTCAAAATAATCATGGGATTCTCCTTAAACTCACAAGAAAATACCCTTGGAACTCTTCTTATGTCTTGGAATCCTCTTGAGAACTCCCTTCTCTATGAATTTCCTCAGAATCCTCTATTTATTTTTTTATAGTACTACCCTGAGAATTCAATCCCTTAGACAGTTATCTCAAAATTTAAATCAAAACTCTTGGCATAAATTTTAGTATGTATAGGCTAGACTAGGCTGGACTAGAGAACTTTCTTCAGGAATCCACCTGAGTCGATTTATTTTAAAATTATCCTTAGAACACTTTTTAAATTCTCTTTATCAGTGGCGTCCCGTAACCTCACTTTTTACCTGTGCACCAACTTTCAAAACCAAATTTAATGCCATATTCATACTCGAATCGGTTGAAAAATATACTTAATCTTCTAAATTACTCGATATTTATCCATTGCAAGCAATATTTTGATAATTGGTTATGTTTTGAGAGTTGGTGCATAGGTAGATTGAGGTTAAGGAAACGTGAGTATTATTCTCAATCCCATATTTAAAAAAAATCTAAATATATTATCTTGAAGATTTTTATAAGTCTCGAAAAATCATAGCCTAATGCTTCTTAAATATTGCCAAAACCTCACAATCTTGGAAATTTCCTTAAACCGATTTTTTAAGATTTCTGTTAGTACAAACTACGGAGTATTCAAACATTTAATTACTCCGAGATTTTCAATAATTTTCTATAGATCTCATATTTCTTAAACAATTACTTGATTAAATCTCCCACTCTTTACAATTCCATCGGCGTTCGGCCTAGTGACCATAAACATATTCCATGATTAAGCTGCTTAGTAAGTTTGGGGCTTTGCAAACTTCAGAGGTCTCGAGCTTAGAAAAGTAATGCAATTTTTTAAGGTATCTCGATAATATAATTTACTTGTTGTATATTTTAAACAATCACACCACGTTTTAGGCCTAAGGCTAAACATCTCTTAAATAAAGTTAAAAAAAAAACACGTTTCAGGATCAGTTGACTAACATGCTGGACTGAAAGATTCATAATTATTATTAGCTGTCCCATAAGTGCTTGATGGCTATAAAACATATATCTTTATTCTTCTTCTTCTTCATTTTCTTATTCTTATTCTTCTCATTCCAAGCTTATTGCATAGCTTAGCTCATATTAGCTTATTGCGAGCTCTCAACATAGTGTTCTAGATGCACTTCCACAGTTATTAATTGAGAGGGTTAGAAGAAAAGGGGTGTAAGTGACTTTGATCGATTCTCTTCATCGACTCTCTCTTTCGTTAATTATTCAGCTGTAAACACATTCCTTGATTCTTGTGCCATTCTGGATGCTAGATGAGAACCT